TGAAACAGACTTTGTTCTCTGTGTAGGATCTTGAGGAGTAAGAAATAATGGAAAGGATGGGGTACATGAAACTCATCATGAGAAAAAGAAAAATAAGAGGAAGAAAAACCCCTAATACGAAATCTCTCAATAGTAATTCACAATTTAGGTCTCCTGTGGGGGAATTATACGTTTCAAAGCTTATCAGGAAAAAGAATTAGTAGAGTCCTAGTCTTTCTAGTTTTATGGCCACACCTCAGGTGCTGTGTTTCAGAGTGACTTTGGGGGTCGCCTAATAATAGAAGTTAATAGGTCTCTCTAGGTGCCATGCTAGCAATGTGTTGAGCATCTGTTATCCCATTACAACTAATGTTGTACAGCTTTCAAGAAATTGAGGATAAAGGAATTGGGACAGTTCACACTCAGGAATATTATCCACAGACATTAAAAACAGTAAATCATCTAACAGTTTCAGAAGAACAATTTGGTAAGTTCTAACCTTGCTGAACAGACAACAGTATTAGTGAGCAGGGGTAGACACAGGCTTCTGGGGTTGGGGCTCTGAGAGGAAACATATAGAGCAAATCCCTTTATAACCTGTGCTTGTCAAAATCCTACTAGGCATCTAAGGCCAAGTTTACACTGTGCCCCCTCCAAGAAATCTTCCTGTGTTTTCAGTTGGCTCTGATCTTTATCACTTGAATTCTAAAAAGATCTTATACCTTTAATGGAGTACTCAACACACTGATCTTTGCGTTTGAGAAATATTTGCCTAGGAGACACTCAGCATACGCCGAACACGAAAAGATGAAAAAGACACTGGTCTCAAGAGGTTAAACGCTGCCCAAGTTGCCTTGTGTTATATTTACTATTTAAGAAAATTTTGAGAAGTAAAGGGACACACAGATAAAAGAGAGAGAGCACCTTTCTGCTGGCTCATTCCCCCAAATGCCTGCAATGGCTACAGCTGGGCCAGGTCCAATCTGGGGGCCAGGAATTCAAGCCAGGTTTCCTACATGGGTCCCAGGGTCCCAACCACTTGTGCCATCTTCTGTGCCTCCTAGCATCCCTTTAGAAGGAAGCTGGAACTGGGAGCCAGAGCCAGGATTTGAACCCAGGTATTCTGATAGGGACATGGACATCATAACTGCTAGGGTAAATGTGTGCCCATTTGTTTAATAATCTTTCTTCCTCCATTAGGAATGCCAAGTTCTATGAAGGCAGAGACTTTGCTTGCTCATTACCATATTCCCGAGATTTAGAAGAGCATTTTGCATATAGTGGGTGCTCAATAAATGTTATGAATGTGAATATGACATTATACAGTTCTTTGCATACAGATTTTTCTCTTAGTAGACTACTACAAATGATGTATTTCTTAATGATAAAGGAAAGTTTATCTTTAATCTTGCTCATAGCCCCTGGCTAAGAGACTTGCACACAGCAATGCCTGCCACTGAACTGAACTGTAATTTCCAATTTCAGCCTTGACTCTAGAAATTAAGAAGTCAGTGGCTTCCACACTCAGAGAGGATCATCACTGTGAATCACATTTTTGAAGTTGCAGAAAACTCTTTGTTCGATAAAAACATGACGGTTGCTCTGCACAGCCACTGTGTAATTTTTCCCAGGAAGGGCAGGTTCCCTGGATCTCCAAGCCATCGCGCAGCTGGAGACACTGACACAGCGTGGCATCTCCACAGCAGTGGCTCGAAAGCTTAGAGTCACTGGGGAGCCTGGACCCACCCACTGAGTGTCTGCTTTCTTTGGTTTGCAGAGACTACATTTCTTGAAAATTCTTCAAGTGACCTTACTGTTGAGAGGCACTGCTCTAGAGGACGAGCAAGGCGAGGAGAAACAGCACTTTGCTTCGGAATGGACAAGATCTGGAAAAGGAAGCCATGACTTTAGCCCAGACTCTGGGTGGGTCGTGACCTTCGCTTTGTCTCTGCTTCTTTCTTGTCAGAGGCACAAGGCTGTTAGACGCAGGGAGGACGACGGATGTGAAGCTCTGCGTGGTCGTGAAGTCATACACAAGCACTTACTTAACACCACCAGCAGGACTTTCAATCTTTTAGGTCTGGCTTAGTATCTTGATACAGAACCTCACACAGAAATTAATTCATGCGAGCCAAAGGAAACCTTACATCTTCATGTTAACGAATTCAAAATGGAATAAAGGAAGTAATTGGAAAGCAAATGATGATTCCCCTCTGGTTCCAGGGAGCCGGACTTGTGACCTTAGGAGCAAAGGCCCTTCACTAACTCTCATTGTAGTTAATTGCTATGTTCACAAACCATTTAATCAACACAAGAAGACAATCAATCTTAATCTCCTTGCTAAAGCTGGAAATTCTGGCCAGAAGCAACTGAGCACCCCCAGATTTGCCTCATCTGACAAAATCTGTGCTTTCACTGCAGGTCTTCAGGTCCTACATTAACTCCCTCCCGCCAAAGCGAAAATACTCTAGTCCTTCAAGGGAGATGTCTCTGGCACCCAATTCGTTGTTTTTAAATATAAATTCAAAATAAAATACGAATTAGCCCGGCATGATAGAGAGTTGATTCAAGGTCAGAACACTGCCTGGACCAACCTTTAAGTCTGGGCAAAAGAAAGGAGTGTTTTCTAATGCAAATACCATGCTTTCAGCAAAGGGGCTACAAGAGACCACTCCGACCTTTGAAATCAATTTACTGAAATCAGAAAATTCCAACAGATTCAGGCTGGGTCCTGGGTGGTGCAGAAACACTCTCTGGGAGAGGAGTATTTTTCTCTGTCATTTTCCATCAATGGTGCATTTCTCCCCCACAGCCAAGAGCAGCCCTGCGGTGGGAACAGGCTGGACTGAACTCAGGAGTTGATGCGGTCTGTCAGAGGCCAGCCTGTCCTCAGCTGCAGTTCACAGCCTGCTTTCAGCAGCCAAGACAAACAGGAACAAGCTTCGCTGACAAGTGCTCCCCACCAAAGTGGGCAATGCTGTTCAAGCAAGATCTCTTACAAAAGACCCAGAAAACGGGACAACCACTGACGATCCTGCTTCTTACTTTCAGTTATCAAGTGTTTAAAGACAAGGCTCTTGTAGCAAGCATCTCTCAAAGCATAAGGTCAATAAAGTAACTTGTCTATCATCACGGAAACCTTGGAGGAGACAGGACCTGATTTCAAATCTTCTAGCCTCAAGTCTACCACATCCCACCACACCACACCACACCTACTCATTTCTCAGGTAGTATTTCTAATGCCAGGTGAGCTTTCTGGCCACAACCAGATGGTAACCATAGTCCAGTGGCAAGGTTTTGGGCTGGGATTGAGAAGATCTGGTTCTAGCCTAGCACTGCTCTGTGTTTCATTTTTCAGAGTCCGAATCTCTTTCCTGATTTCTAATCAAGTTTGTCCATCCCACTTGCTGACAAAACCCCAGAAGCTGACTCGGTTCCCTCATCTGCGCTCCTCTTTGCCTGCTCCAGGTGCAGCCGGTGTTGCAGAGCGGCACTGCCCAGTGCTGCCACACATCACAGTCTGCACGCTCAATGCTGCTCCACGTCATCTCTTCCTAGATTCTCTCCTGACCTTCTTGCCCGTCTTTTTGTTTCTACGCTTGCTTCTTTCCAGACTATCTCCCACAAAGCTGCCGGTCATCTCTTTAAATGCATCACTGCTCACAGCCCTTCACTAGTTCCCACTGCCCCGAGCATGAATGGGAAACTCCTCCCACACCTGCACGTTCTGGCCCCCGTCTCCCCCGGCCACCTCACCTCAGGCCACCCTCCTCCAAGCTCAGTGTGCTCTCACCGCGCTGGTCCCCCTTCAGTTCCTCACACCTGCCACGTTTGTCTGGCCTGCTTCTGATGCGCTGCTTCCAGGCTGGGGCTGGAGTTGTGGCACAGTGGGTTAAGCCACCCTTGTGATGCTGGCATCCCATCCTGGAGGCCAGTTTGAGTCCTGCTCTACTTCTGATCTAGCTCCCTGCTAATGTGCCTGGGAAAGCAGAAGATGGCCCAAACGCTTGGGTCCCTGCAGCCATGTGGGAGACCTGGATGAAGTTCCTGGCTCCTGCTTCGGGCTGCCTCAGCCCTGACTGTTGGAACCATTTAGGGAGTGAACCAGCAGATGGAAAGAGTGACCCATGCCCCATCTCCGCCTTGCCCCCACTGCTGCACCTTTCAAAAAAAATTCTTAAAAAAATCCCAACTGCTCCATCTGATATTCTGTCTGCGCAGCTGAGCAGACGCTGATACTGTTTCCTTTCTCTTCCTTCTGCCGGGTCTACCTCCTCCTCGTCCTCTACTTTCTCACTTGTCATCTAATATGCCTTCCAACTGGACCACACTACCCAAACAGCTGTCCCAAAATGTGCAAATGACTGTGACTTCACCAAAACAAATGGAGGTTTTCACCCTTACCTGCTGGATCCTCTCTGTGACACGGGACAGTGGCCACCTCGGTGTCTGGGCCCTCTACTTGCTTGAATTTGGCGTCATTTCTCTCTAGGCATTTCTCTAACCATCCCTGCCAGCTCTGATGCTGGGGCTGCTTAATGTTGATATTCTGTTAGGTCATCTCCTTGGTCCACAGTTCTTCTCTGCCTAATATCCTTCCTTGGGCAACTCCATCTGTTCTCACTCTAAAACCCTGCTAATGACTCCCAGATCCACCTCAGACCCGAGGCAGACCTGAACATCCAGCTGTCTGCTCATTATCTCTTCTTGGATGGTCCACAGGCTTCTGAAATTCAAGATAACCACAGCCGAACTCTTGATCTCCCCACCTAAAGGAGCTGCATTTAAAATGCTCAATCTCGGTTCACAGTGCTACCCTCTGCCTGAACAACAAATCTGGGAGTTTTCTGGACTCTGTTCTTCCTCACTCATTGCTTATTTTTCCTCTCCCTTTAGACCTGATGTACCAGAGATGCACACTTTGGAACCCTTCGCTCACGGCATGCTGCCATCATGCTGTTGGTACTTTTACCAAAACCACACATTCCCATGGCTTCCCTCCTCCAGCCAAAGCTGCTTACCTTTCCCTCTTTGAAGTGCTTTTTGAGCTGCTTCTGCATGGCAGTCAGCTTCTTGGACTGCACCCCACTGTACGCCAGCAACATGCCACCAAACTGCCTCTCAGTAATCCTCCCGTCCACCGGGTCATGGCGTTCAAACTGGGGAGGAAACAGAAAGAATGTTCTTGGAGTCCGCTGGGAGATGCTTTGATGCGGAACGTCCCACTGTGTTAGATGGCAGAAAACAGTTGATGACTTTCTTTTTGGACTACAATTCTCTGAAAGATCTGTAAAAAAATATGAAGAAACAGGAGATCTTCTCCTAGATCCACTCCTAATTATGGCTTCAGGAAAAACGCCCACCTGCTCTGCGCTTTAATTTCCTCAAAGGTAAAACAAAACTGTTAAAAACCTCTCATATGGTCACAAACCAAGAACATCCTTGTGGGGACAAAAAAACAATTTTAAAGCTCCATACAGATTCATGCCCTTTAATAATAAGTGCTTTTTAGATCATCCATGTCCCTGCTTCTCAGAAAAAGCTTAAAAGCTAATTATTACGAATTTGGTCAATTACAGATGTATAGTCAAATTCCTCAATATGTATTTGATATTGTTAGTCCTCTAGATATTTAAGGATTTCAGAGAAGTTTTCCCCAAAATGGTCACCAAATGTCAGGACATCATTAGGGCTTAGGGAAAAACACATACTGAGTGGAGGATGCCTTCATGAGACCTGCTCCCCACAAAGCTAGAAAAACCATTAAGTTTATCTAAATACACAGATGGAAAGGTTAAGTCTAAAGAATCCCTAGCTAATCTAAGTGATATCAGAAAACTGACTTTCATCAAAAAAGGGAGCTAAGGAAGCTCTGTCTCTGCTGTAGTATTAATGATACTAACAAGTACACGAGTTATCAACGGCTGAAGATGGGCCCAGCAACCAGGTGGAAGGTAGATGATTTGAAGATCGTAAAATAAGAGTAAAACTGGAAGACGGTAACATTTCCACATGGTTTTACTGGAGAAGAACAGACGCCTACGTAGCAGGGCATAGACAGAAGATGTCACTGAGTAAGCTTCTAATACTGTGTGAGTCACGGAGAAAGGAGGAAATTCAGTTTCTATCCTTTGGGACACCATCTGAGTCTAGCAGGGAGATCAGACATACCTATAAAACACAGAATAAGGCAGCTGGTAGTCGAGTGAATGTTCTTTCAATTCTCATTTCCTCAGTGACCATGGTAAACTGATACTTATTTAATGTGCTTCCTCAGTGAGCAAAACCCAAGAACCATATTTTAATAACAGGAACCATTTACTGAGCAAGTACTATGGGCCAGGTACTACATTTGTGTATATATACATTTTTTAAAAGATTTATTTGAAAGTCAGAGTTACAGAGAGGGAGGAATAGAGCGAGCGAGATCTTCCATCTGCTGGTTCACTCCCCAGATAGCCACAAAGGCTGGCGCTGGGCCAGGAGCTTCACTGTGGTCTCCCACATGGGTGGCAGGGGCCCAAGTAATTGGGCCACCTTCCACTGCTTTCCCAGGCACACAAGCAGGGAGCTGGAATGGAAGTGGAGTGGGAACCATTCAAATGGATGCCAGAGTTGCAGACACTGGCTTTACCTGTTACTCCACAACACCAGCTCCTATTCTGTCATCTAATCACTACAAGTCTGTGTGTTAGTTCCACTTTGCAGATGAGAAAACTGAGGCAACGTTCAGGTACATGTGGCAGAGTTCAGATTCAAACTCAGCCCTGTCTCGGACCAGAGACCATCTCTCAACGTCATCCAGTTTCCTACTTCTAGGCAGTAGTACGCACATAGGATAGCACCATGTTGTTTTGGACACACTTATATAGCTATGGGGTGTCTTAGCCATATTTAAGTGAGAGGCAAAACTATTTCTGAAGAGACCAGCATCATCCTTATTAAGAGAAAGCCTCCTTGTCTACTCAACCTCTCAGCTGTTTCATGTTTGTCATGGCATCACTTTCTATAGAGCTGATTAATCTGACAATACCAGAAGTTTTAAGGATTCAATTTAAGGTTGATTGATGGCTCAATTTACCATCCTGAAATAAGATGGAGGTCTAACAAAATTTTGCAAATAGGTGTCCTTTCTGCGACTCTCACATCAGCTTTTCAGCAAAATCTGGAGCCCGGGCTTCTTCAAGCGAAGGCAAACAAAGCTGGGGTCTCTGCTCCCCAGGACAGGCTTCAGTAATCTAGGGTATTCATTCTACCTTCAGCTGAGAAACGTCGCAGCAGTGGGGCAATCCCGTATACTTGAACTAGATGGGCTTTCAGCTCTCTCCTGCAAGATAGACTGATTTGAGGTTGACATGATTTCTGTTTATTAATGTTGGCAGCAGCTGTAGCTTGCTCAAGGCTTATGAAAGGCCATTAGTCTCTGTTTTCCTGGGAGCATAGAGCATCACCTCTGTTATGTTTCAAAGGCACTGGAGATACCCAAGTACTATTTAAATGCTAAAGTACAGAGGCCAGCACTGTGGCGCAGCGGGTTAGTGCCCTGGCCTGAAGTGTCGGTATTCCATATGGGCACCGGTTCTAGTCCCAGCTGCTCCTTTTCAGATCAAGCTCTCTGCTGTGGCCTGGGAAAGCAGTAGAAGATGGCCCAAGTCCTTGGGCCCCTGCACCCACGTGGGACACTCAGAAAAAGCTCCTGGGCTTCGGATCGGTGCAGCTTTGGCTGTTGCGGTCACCTGGGGAGTGAACCAGCGGATGGAAGACCTTTCTTCCACGTCTTCCGGGTCTCCCATGTGGGTGCAGGGGTCCAAGGACTTGGGCCATCATCTGCTGCCCTCCCAGGCCACAGCACAGAGCTGGACTGGAAGTGGAGCAGCCGGGACTCACACTGGTGCCCATATGGGATGTCAGCACTGCAGGTGGTAGACTCACTCGTCATGGCATAGCACTGGCCCCAATTGTCACTATTTTTAAGTAACTGAAACCCAAAAGGGCTTAAAAACTATAAGCTTCAGCTGTTCCATATAGTATGGCCCATGGTAAGCCTTACTACTTCAGCTCTGTAATTTGATTCTAGGCAGCACCTCTCCTTTAAGGTTTCTAGATTCTTCTGAGGAAATAACACTGCCTTCTTTCTGAGGCCTTAAACATGCCTGCAGAGGGCTGTTTCAATCTTCTCTTCTCCTTCTCTTTTCTTTCTCTCTCTCTCCCCTCCCTCCCTTCCTTCCTTCCTCCCTGCCTCCCTCCCTTCCTTTCTTCCTTCCTTCTTTCCTTCCTTCCTTTTGACAGGCAGAGTTAGACAGTGAGAAAGACAGAAAGGTCTTCCTTTTCCATTGTTCACCACCCAAATGGCCACTACGGCCAGCATGTTGCACTGATCTGAAGCCATGACCCAGGTGCTTTCTCCTGGTCTCCCATGCGGGTGCAGGGCCCAAGCCCTTGGGCCATCCTCTACTGCCTTCCTGGGCCACAGCAGATATCTGGACTGGAAGAGGAGCAACCAGGACAGAAGGGCTGTTTCTCTTCACACACAAAGCTGATAATGGAAACACAGAATTTATTTCCTATTCACTCAACAAGTATTATATGCTAAGGCAACTTATATATATATATATATAAAATATATATAAATTCATTTATTTATTTGGAAGGTAGAGTTAAAGAGAAAGAGGAGAGAGACAGAGAGATAACTTCATTTGCTGATTCACTCCCCTAATAGCCCCAGTGACCAAGGCTGGACCAGGCCAAAGCCAGGAGCTTCATCTGGGTCTCCCATATGGATGGCAGAGCCCCAGTACCATCTTCCATAGCTTTGCCAGGCACATTAACAGGGAGCTGGGCAATGGAGAAGCCAGGATTCAAATCAGCACTCATATGGGATGCTGGCATTGCAGATGGTGGCTTAACCTGCTGTGCCACAACGCCAGCCCCTAGGAGTAGATTTTCAAAGGCAAAGTGAGACATCCTGAGGCTCTAGGGAACAGAGACATCACCCTAAGCTTGGACAATCTTGTTGGTGTGCTCCCAGGTTGCCATACACATGCAATCAGTGCCCACTGCAGGGGAGGGTCAGACACAGGTCACTGCAACAGTATCACGCAGTAAAAAGCCTTATTATTGTACATTTGGAAGCAATTAAATCACTGGCTTGTATTTTACTTAGCCAAACACATGTTCTTCTTCTGTTGGGACCTCTTATGTTCCATTTCAATGATAATTCAGGAATTCTACTCTGTTGGATCCCGAGGCACAGAGCACATGCATCCCAGCACCGCCCACCACCTGCGTTGCTTTTCTGTGTTTAGGAGGAGGGTTGAACAGCTTAGCTTTTCTATCTGCAGTCACTGCCACTTTCTGAACTGGATACAAGCTGTGTGTCCCCCTGTTGTTCCCCAGGGGACTTCAGAGTAGGCCAAGAGGGGCCAGAAGAGTGGAGCCAAAAACTCTCCAAGACTTCTCCTGGCGTGCTGTGCTGCACGTTTCCACGTGTGCCCTTTGCTGAGGGAAGGACGGATGGTACACCTATCTGAAATGATCTGAGGACGACGGCAAGCCAGGAAAACAAAAACACCTATAGGAACGAAGGTGAAAAACGAGCTTAGAAAAACAGTGGAAGGAAAACCAAGTCGGTGTCTGTAAGTGGGTCTCCATATTACAGGCTTTGAGGTTATTGTATTCCAACAATGTAAACCTCAACCTACTCATTTCAGACAGTTATCTTTCAGGAGAGTCTGTGTAAGACCCACAGTAAATCCCTCCCTCATATAAGGATTTCAGAATACTGTTTTTTTGGTTAGGCTTTTCCTGGTTTCTGAACTGCACAACCCAAAACTGCAGAGTGATCTCAGGCCACAGGGATGAACACATCTATGTCTTCAACCCTACAGTAAATGGCTTTTGAGATTGTCCCCATGCCTCGGCTGCTATTATCAGGAGTCTCAGAATAACTGTCTAGTATGCCCATCAAAAGGAAAGATGATTCCAGGCCAAGTTCTCTACTGTAAACCCACCTGGTAAGCATGACACAGCCACCTCATGGTTTGAACTGAAATCTGTGTTTCTGCAATTGGCAGGGGACACCAGAGATCCAGGAGCTGGAACTTTCTTCATCTTTAAATACAAGCAGCACTGTCACTGTCAACACTAATATGACTGTCTT